ATCTTTCCAATAGACCAATGGAACAAATGTCTTCTCTGAGGAGGATCGAGCGACAAATGAAACAAAATCTTTCAAGCTTTTCCATCCCATTCTGGTAGCCACGCCATTCTCAATTTTCTGATGATTCCAGTCTTAGTCTTAGTAACGGCTTAAAGAAGTTATTTCAAAACTTGTTCGCACAAAATCTGGGAAAGCTCTTAAACTGTGGTTATTAGATTTATACACTGAACAAATAGTACATTCCTTAGCATATTTTTCTGAGCTATATTTTGAGTAGTATGATATATAAGTTAATGCACTCAGAGACAATAAACATCTAGCTACAATGTTTGCCTTCAATTTCATAGGCATGTATCGGAACCAAAACTTGTTCCGCACATCCCGAGCTGGTATATTAAAGGTAAAAAATAGTATGGCTTCATTTTTCAAATAATTTGGAGAAATACCAGAATCGACTCTTAAGTTTATCTACATTTAGAAGCTGAAATACCATTTTTGTATAAGTTAGGCATAGAACATTGAAAGAGGATGATTACAAACGGCAAATGCCCTGTATGTAGACTATGCATACGCAGGTCTCTAGAGTATCTGAAGCATTAGAATTGTTACGTCATGAATTTCCAGATCTGCTTAATTGTCTATACTACCAACAACAAAACGGTTGCGAGGCTGTGGATGTGGGTGAGTGTGGGTGTGGATTTCAGTGCCGATGTGAGTTTCAATGCTTCATCAATAAACCAACACCTACACCCTATTTAATAATGTTTCACACCAGTTCAATGGCATTAAAATCCGGACTATAACCTGGCCATTGGGATAACTGAAGATTATGTTGTTCACACCATGGCCTAAATTGAACACTTTGATGCCATTTCAGTCCGTCAGAAACAACAGAATCTGTTCGATTCTTTTATATTTCCAGATAGCGCTTCATTCACTGTGTCACAATATGTGTCACTTTTTAAAAGAGTTGAACGGATTCTGTTATGGCTCTAATAGATTGAAATGGCATCGAAGTGTTCAATTTAGGCAATTGTGTGAACAATATAATATTGAATTATGCAAATGGCCAGATTATAGTGCGGATTGTAATGCCATGGAACCGGTGTGGAGCATTATTAAACAGAAGGTTAAAAGTACGAATCCAAGGTCACAACGTGAACTAGAAAATGCGACCGATGAAGCTTGTTATAACCTGTCATTCAAATGTTGTTCAAGCTCGTATCAAAAAGACTCAGACAGTATATTCGCACATTGTACATGTATCTTCATCCCAGGTCGATGATTCCAGCATACGGATCCGTCCGGAACGCGTAGCAAACCGCGCATTTTCCGTCCAATTCCCATCGATTCCCGCGCCATTCTTGCCGAAACCGACCGGAAAAATAATCGGAACAGGCTGGCAGAATTCCGATCGAAAAGTTCTCGTAGCGGGAACCACTATATTCTAAAAAGTTTCCACTCATTGGAATGTACCGGAAACTAGACCATATCCCTACGAAAACAACGGTGATTTACCGGAAACAATAAGGAAAAACACCGTACCCTTCAGGTACCACGCCAGAAACAGACCGTACCCGTTCCTAACCAGTAGAAAGTAACCTTATTCCAGAAAGATTTTTTAGGATCCTAATCTTCTTAATTCCTAGTTTCAGTCCCAAAAAATGTCCTAGATGTAAGATACATTTCAGTAAAGATCTTCAAAGATCTTTTTCCATGAAAACACGTCTTACAGTCCCAAGAATACCTTAAAAATAAGATAGATTGCAAAGAAGATATTTAAAGAGCTCTCATTGAAATAGCTATAGTGTGTTCGGATAGTCACTAGAGGTAGAAAAATGTGAATATCTCAATGGTGTTTGGACCAAGTCAGTTGATTTTTCTACTACGGATAGAGAAGTTTTCTTAGTCCATATTCATAAGAAGAGCGTAGATTAAAACTGTTTCGACGTATCACTATTGACTTTGATAAAGAAATGTTCTCCTAGGCGAATTTCTGTAAAAATCGCGCTCACAATATGCCTTAAAAGTTATCATGAACAACAAATTTGAATAAGTTCAGTATATTATAGCCGAAGTAGACTAATTTTTTTGAAAATATAGAGGCATATTCCCGGTTCAAATAGTGTTAGGTGAAATAATATCCCTTACATCTTAAAGTTGTCGTACACATAAATAGTCTTTCTAGAAAACCCTTAGAGGATAATGCCATTTTACTGATTTCAAAAGTGATCTTTCGAAATAATTAGTTTCTGTCGATGTTATTCTTATGGATATGTACCAGAAACACTCCTCTATCAGTGGTAAAAAAATTAACTCATTTCATTCAAACATCGTTGAGATATTCAAAGTTTTCTATCTCAAGTGACTTTCCGGGCACCCTATATCACCTTTTCCAAATAATTTTAAAATAGGATACCTTCGAAAAAATATTCCTAAAGACCATTTTTGCCTCACCCAAGATTTTCGCTGAGTGGTCGTTTGTCTTTGGCAATCGAAAGGGAAATCCATGAGAAATAGTACAACTTTTGACCGGGTCATTATAAGTGGCAAAACGATACAGTACATAGCTGGCGAACGTTCGATTTTGTTATGTATTTTGATTTTCTTTAAGTGCCTGTGCTATATGGAATCAGGTTTTTTGGCAAGCGTCGCTGATAGTGGTGTGTACATAGGCTTTTTCCTGAAACTCTTCTATTCCTTACTGCCGGCTAGCAAAGAAGTCTCCGTTGTAAAAATGAATCTCCTAAAACCACTCCATTTATGAGCCTTCGTCCATGTTTGTCTGTCTTCGAATAGATCGACGTATCTCTGAAGGCTATTTTTGTGTAGTGGATCTATAGAAGGTCTCCATTCTACGTTGTTCGCCAATCTACAGGCCTCTCATACTATTGCTATCTGCTACGAGACTCGAATGAACTTTACTGCGTGATGCACTCCTATACATACGTAAGATCATGACTTAGAAAGACTCAAAAAATCCTATTCTTAATGCTCAACAATCGATTTTTAGTCTATGTTACTCCTGACTAGGTTATCATTCGAATGAACTCTAATGTATGGTGTACTTCTATATATAGGGTGGACCATGTGTTAGAAAGGCTCAAAAAATCTGATTATAATCCGATTTTTGATATTCAACAATGGATGTTTATGGATTAAAGTAGAGCCGATTAAAAGCAGTTACTACATTGAATTTGATCGAAAACTTTCATATGTATTCGGTTTTTGTTGAATGTATTGCGAAAACGTTTCAATGTAAAGTTTAGCAGTTGCTTTTGCATGTGTCCCGTCGAAAAGTATCACCGATTTGTCGGTTAATAGTTATTGATCCCATGCAACTAAAATCAGCAGTTCCGAGTCATATCGTGGCGTATCCTGTGACCGGATCCGAACTCCACAGCCTTATTGAAAATGACTGGATCGAGGTTTCGGAACCAAATCGAAAACGACAGTATATGGCTCGTATCCCGTCACCGTCATAAAACGCCGGAACCGCATTCGGGAACCGTACCGGGAACAAGAACCCGTATCCGGACATCGCTTCCGGATTCCGGGTGTGGGTATGGGTGGGTAAAAAAAGAATAACAGTGAAACTCACACCCACACACCTACATACACACACTCACATCTACACCTACGCCCACACCCACACCCACTCGCACTCACACCCACCCCACACCCACACCCACACCCACACCCACAACCATACCCAGTTTCTACAATTGAGCCGATATACCGAGATATATAACCTGTTTTATTGTACAGCTATTTATGAGTCAGTTTGGATTAATATAATTGCGAAAAAATTGGCCAAACTCGGCGTTTTCGATGATTCAATCATGATCATATCGTTGACTTTCTTTCACACAGTTTTGATGACATGGGTAAAGAGAAAAATCTCAATTGGTTATGTTCATCCTCAGAGCTGTTTCCTCGCGAAATTTCATCATCTGCAATATGTTGAATTAGAAGCTTTTCTGCACGATTTGTGTGCTATCTGATTTATGTCGTATTATATTCCTCACTTTTTTTCTTTTTCTGTTCTATTCTTTCTTCACGAAATGCAGCATAGAATGAAGAGAAAAGGCATTTTATTTTTTTTCTGTCTTGATCTCAGTATGCTCACCGAAGCATTGGGTAAGAACAACCCCCTCAAATTCCCTCTTACCTATACCAGGTAAAATGTATGCACAAAACACACGAGAAAAAAAAATAAAACACTTCTATTTTTCTCTTGAATGTTTCATCGATATAAAGAACGAGTTTTCGTGTAGCGATGAAGAATTGACTATGCAGCAATGAAATTAATTTCGTCTCAAATTTCGATTTTCTTTTTTCTTTAACAATCGATAACAATGTAAGAAATCGATTGACGTGCAAACTAGACAACTAAATTTCATTTTAGCTGTATGTCTGCGACTCAAAACTTGCTAGTATCGATTTTCTTCAATGTCATTTAATGGTATGTTTTTATGAAAAATATTTTTTCTTGCTTCAACTCTTTCTGTTTGACTCATACGTCGTACAACGTGTACAATTATGACGGAAAACCTCGTTGGTTCTCATTTTCTCCTTGATGACATAATATTCAGTTACAATTACAATATGAAAATATTCGTGACACAACTCTCTCAATTTATCTATAAGGAGTAGCGATGCGTATGTGGGTGTGGACGTGTGGGGTATGGCTGTGATTTTGCGTGTGGATGTGGATCTTGTCGTGATACACATTGACATCGATATTCACATCCGCACCCACACCCTATATGTACTGTTGAAGAATTACGAAACTCAAACACGGGTGGTGGCGAATACAAATACTAACTTTGGTGCTGTTATACAATGTCAATAAGAAAGCTAGTAACTAGAGTGGCATTAGCAAATACTACTACTCTTTTGATATCTTTCAAAACGATTACCGGAACCATGTCAACTTTTTTTTACAATTTTCAGGCATTCCAGAATCATTTTGACTTGTTTCTCCGATTTCAGATACGATGCATATTATCGTTCACATAATTTTCACTGTCCTGTTTCTTGGAGTGGTTCTTCATGGTCAAGGTGCTGGTGGTGGACGTCATGGTCATGGTGGAAGTGACAATTATGAAGATAGAAATTCTGACCATGCAAGGCACGGTGGAAGTGTCGATTATGGAAATCGTGGCGGAAAGTATGGTGGTGGTAATAGATATGGCTACGTGGATGATTCAGAAGATAGTAAAATGTTTATTCACTCTTCTTTCTAGTCGAATTCTCAGATGGAAAGATAGCTAGGAGTAGGATGTATTTCTTTCCAATAATTAAAAGTAGTTTTCGTTTCTTTCGATGCCTCTCAAAAATGCCTGTTTGCACTACAGATCAATAAAAATTAACTCTTCAACATCTCCATCTGCTTCTTTCTCGTCAACGTTTCGATTTTCCTTGTCAATCTATGGGTTTTAACATTTTTATGTCATTTGTTAAGGAAGTATTATGTCCTACTGATTGAAAAATACCTTTTTTGAGTATTTTGAATATTCTAATACATTAGATAACTACTGATGTTCATATATTTGTTACAGGTGGTCATTATAATAGAGGTCGACAAAGGCCGCACGCAACTACTGATCATCATTCATCACTGGGCAATATGTTGTACTTCATACTGTTCTTAGTAACTGTCGTCATCATTGGCTGCTGTATTGGTGGCTGTTGTCTAATTTATAGATTTAAAACTAGATCTGGGTCAAATACGACATTTACCAACGTCCCGACCAATGAACCACCTTCCGAACAACAAACTACGAAATTCACCAGCATACCTATTGACAAGACAGCATTGAATAATATGAACATATTCTCATCAGGAATTTGGTCGGGTCGATACTTTCAATATGGTAGATGGCATGATCCACAACAGTTGTCGCTGTCATTTGATCCTAATTCATTCACAATAAATGGACACGGATCGGACGATGTTGGCGCATATACTGTTACCGGCAGATACTCGACGACAACCAATGAAATAGAGCTCGAAAAAACATATCAACAAGGAACAGGTGATGAACGGGAAAATTTCGGGCATTTAGTTACTATTGAAGTTACATGGAACCCTGAGAAGCAACTATTTGATGGCAACTGGTATGTAGATAAGAGTTCATTTCGTGATGAAGACTTATTTGAACTCAAGTTCGAGAAATCGGTGTAGCCCCTGACAAGCAAAAAACGCTAGACTCCTGAACCTATAAGGGTTCATAATTAGCTAATGCAAGACAATGAACTCATAATAAACAACAATTAACTATCATTTTATTCTTAGTGCTTACTGTGCTAAATTAATTTCTAACAGATTATGATAGGTTTGAATTTACTTTTATAAATTTGTCATTGCTGATTTTTTCCTTTTATCACAAATAAATTTATTCTTCGTGATTCCTAATGTTCAAATGTATCTGGGCACACTTCTTTTGAAAAATATTGACGATATCATGCAACGTGTTCTGACTATTAGTACAACTTCTAAGTATTGAATAAATGAGGCTATGGATGTAAATAAAATCAAAGCACACTTACAACAACATCCTACAACTTTTATGCTAATGAATCGTTCGCAGAGAAGGAAAACATATTAATAAACATAGATCATAAAAACTTCATGATACATTCAAACAAAACAGTTAATGAAAATATGTCACATCGATCTCTTAAACGATAAACAACATCCCAAATATAAGAAATGGTGAAGCTAATTAATTCATCAAGCTTGTGAATAACGGAGAAAATCCATCTACAAATGTGAAAAACATTAAAATAGTCAAAAATGTCAAATTCAGCGTAATAATGAACAAATCGATCATTACAATGACTATAACCAAATACAATATGGTGA